AAAAACAATATTTTGTGTTAATCTTCTGTCTTGTTTGTCTATTTCTTATGATTATTTATCCGGCCAGAATTCAAATTAATGCGTTACTTTATTTTGGAGATATTTTGTCGACCAGGGCCATCGTTTCTGTGCAAGAGTAAGGCAAATGTTCTGTTTGAACTGCGACTGCAGCCTTTCGCCAACTGTTTCTCAGTCTTGACACACAGCACTGTTGAGGGAGAGAAAAACAATATTTTGTCAAAACGTTCTGTCCTGTTTGTCTATTTCTGAAGATTATTCATCTGGCCAGAATTAAGTTCAATGCGTTACTTTATTTTGGAGATATTTTGTCGACCAGGGCTATCGTTTCTGTGCAAGAGTGAGGCAAATGTTCTGTTTGGACTGCGACTGCAGCCTATCGCCAATCGTTTCTCAGTCTTGACACACAGGACTGTTGAGGGAAAGAAAAACAATATTTTGTCTAAATCTTCTGTCATGTTTGTCTATTTCTTATGATTATTCATCTGGCCAGAATTCATTTCAATGCGTTACTTTATTTTGGAGATATTTTGTCCAGCAGGGCTATCGTTTCTGTGCAAGAGTGAGGCAAATGTTCTGTTTGGACTGCGACTGCAGCCTATCGCCAACTGTTTCTCCGTCTTGAGACCGCACTGTTGAGAGAGAGAAAAACCATATTTTGTCTAAATATTCTATCTTGTTTGTCTATTTCTTATGATTATTCATCCGGCCAGAATTCAATTTGATGCGTTACTTTATATTTGCAATGCGTTCTAGGGCCCTTTAGGCATCTTTCTAGCTACTTTCAGGAATTTTTTTTTGGAAAATTCAAAGAAAAATGCAAAGAGTTAGCCTTACATTTTTAGTCAAATTTGGCCAAAAATTGACTTTACTCAAAACAAGGCAGAAATCATATATATGCAAGAGGAACATCAATCAATACTCTAACACACATCATTTTGAAGATTTGGGATATTTTTCGAGCGATTTTACCTCAATTGTTCCCCATCATTTCCCCTTCAATAGCACATCTGTCCAGCAATCGATTTGGAATGCGTTCTAGGGCCCTTAAGGCATCTTTCTAGCAACTTTCAGGAAATTTCATTTTTCGGCCAAAATTGGGAAAAAATGCAAGGGGTTAGCCTTACATTTTTTGGTCAATATCGGCCAAAAATTGACTTTTCTCAAAACAAGGCAGAAATTCATCTGGATGCAAGAGGAACATCAATCAATACACTAACACACATCATTTTGAAGATTTGGGCAAAAATCGTCAATTTTCGGAGAAAAAAAAGATATTTTTTGCGCGATTTTACCTCACTTTGTCTACAGAATTTCCCCTTTAAAATCACATCTGTCCAGCAATCGATTTGGAATGCGTTCTAGGGCTCTTAAGGCATCCTTCTAGCAACTTTCAGGAAATTTCACTTTTCGGCCAAAATTGGAAAAAAATGCAAGGGGTTAGCCTTACATTTTTTTGGTCAAAATCGGCAAAAAAAATTGACTTTTCTCAAAACAAGGCAGAAATTCATCTGGATGCAAGAGGAACATCAATCAATACACTAACACACATCATTTTGACGATTGGGGCAAAAATCGTCAATTTTCGGAGAAAAAAAGGATATTTTTTGAGCGATTTTACCTCACTTTTTCGACAGAATTTCCCCTTTAAAATCACATCTGTCCAGCAATCGATTTGGAATGCGTTCTAGGGCCCTTAAGGCATCTTTCTAGCAACTTTCAGGAAATGTCATTTTTCGGCCAAAATTGGAAAAAAATGCAAGGGGTTAGCCTTACATTTTTAGTCAAAATCGGCCAAAAATTGACTTTTCTCAAAACAAGGCAGAAATTCATCTGGATGCAAGAGGAACATCAATCAATACACTAACACACATCATTTTGACGATTTGGGCAAAAATCGTCCATTTTCGGAGAAAAAAAGGTTATTTTTTGAGCGATTTTACTTCAATTTTGCGACGGGATTTCCCTTTCAATAGCACATCTGTCCAGCAATCGATTTGGAATGCGTTCTAGGGCCCTTAAGGCATCTTTCTAGCAACTTTCAGGAAATTTCATTTTTTTGGCCAAAATTGAAAAAAAATGCAAGGGGTTAGCCTTACATTTTTAGACAACATCGGCCAAAAATTGACTTTTCTCAAAACAAGGCAGAAATTCATCTGGATGCAAGAGGAACATCAATCAATACACTAACACACATCACTTTGAAGATTTTGGCAAAAATCGTCAATTTTCGGAGAAAAAAAGGATTTTTTTGAGCGATTTTACCTCACTTTTTCGACAGAATTTCCCCTTTAAAATCACATCTGTCCAGGATATCGATTTGGAATGCGTTCTAGAGCTCTTAAGGCATCTTTCTAGCAACTTTCAGGAAATTTAATTTTTCGGCCAAAATTGAAAAAAATGCAAGGGGTTAGCCTTACATTTTTAGTCAAATTTTGGCAAAAATTGACTTTTCTCAAAACAAGGCAGAAATTCATCTGGATGCAAGAGGAACATCAATCAATACACTAACACACATCATTTTGAAGATTTGGGCAAAAATCGTCAATTTTCGGAGAAAAAAAGGATATTTTTGAGCGATTTTACTTAACTTTTTCGACAGAATTTCCCCTTTAAAATCACATCTGTCCAGCAATCGATTTGGAATGCATTCTAGGGCTCTTAGGGCATCTTTCTAGCAACTTTCACGAAATTTCATTTTTCGGCCAAAATTGAAAAAAATGCAAGGGGTTAGCCTTACATTTTTAGTCAAATTTGGCCAAAAATTGACTTTTCTCAAAACAAGGCAGAAATTCATCTGGATGCGAGAGGAACATCAGTTAATACTCTAACACACATCATTTTGAAGATTTGGGCAAAAATCGTCAATTTTCGGAGAAAAAAAGGTTATTTTTTGAGCGATTTTACTTCAATTTTGCGACGGGATTTCCCTTTCAATAGCACATCTGTCCAGCAATCGATTTGGAATACGTTCTAGGGCCCTGAAGGCATCTTTCTAGCAACTTTCAGGAAATTTCATTTTTTGGCCAAAATTGAAAAAAATTGCAAGGGGTTAGCCTTACATTTTTAGACAAAATCGGCCAAAAATTTACTTTTCTCAAAACAAGGCAGAAATTCATCTGGATGCAAGAGGAACATCAATCAATACTCTAACACACATCATTTTGAAGATTTGGGCAAAAATCGTCAATTTGTGGAGGGAAAAAAAGGTAATATTTTGAGCGATTTTACCTTAATTTTTCGATATTAATTTTTACCTTAATTTTTTTCACAGAATTTCATCTTTACGTACCTCTAGGGGCGACTATTGATGGTCGCCTCTAGCGGAACCTACTTCTAGGGGCGACTATTGATGGTCGCCTCTAGCGGTGCCTACTTCTAGGGGCGACTATTGATGGTCGCCTCTAGCGGTACGTACCTCTAGGGGCGACTATTGACGGTCGCCTCCAGCGGTACCTACCTTTAGGGGCGATATTGATGGTCGCCTCTAGCGGTGCCTACTTCTAGGGGCGACTATTGATGGTCGCCTCTAGCGGAACACACTTCTAGGGGCGACTATTGATGGTCGCCTCTAGCGGTGCCTACTTCTAGGGGCGACTATTGATGGTCGCCTCTAGCGGTACGTACCTCTAGCGGCGACTATTGATGGTCGCCTCTAGCGGTACGTACCTCTAGGGGCGACTATTGATGGTCGCCTCTGACGGTACGTACCTCTAGGGGCGACTATTGATGGTCGCCTCTGGCGGTACGTACTTCTAGGGGCGACTATTGATGGTCGCCTCTAGCGGTACGTACCTCTAGGGGCGACTATTGATGGTCGCCTCTAGCGGTACGTACCTCTAGCGGCGACTATTGATGGTCGCCTCTAGCGGTACGTACCTCTAGCGGCGACTATTGATGGTCGCCTCTAGCGGTACCTACTTCTAGGGGTGACTATTGATGGTCGCCTCTAGCGGTACGTACCTCTAGGGGCGACTATTGACAGTCGCCTCCAGCGGTACCTACCTTTAGGGGCGATATTGATGGTCACCTCTAGCGGTGCCTACTTCTAGGGGCGACTATTGATGGTCGCCTCTAGCGGTACATACTTTTTTATCTTAATTTTTCGACAGAATTTCCCCTTTAATAGCACATCTGTCCAGCAATCGATTTGGAATGCGTTCTAGGGCCCTTGAGTCATCTTTCTAACAACTTTCAGGAAATTTCATTTTTTGGACAAAATTGCAAAAAAAATGCAAGGGGTTAGCCTTACATTTTTGGTCAAAATCGGCCAAAAAATGACTTTTCTCAAAACAAGGCAGAAATTCATCTGGATGCAAGAGGAACATCAATCAATACTCTAACACACATCATTTTGAAGATTTGTGCAAAAATCGCAAATTTTTGGAGAAATAAAAGTAATTTTTTGAATGTTTTTTCATCAATTTTTCGACAGAATTTCCCCTTTAATAGCACATCTGTCCAGCAATCGATTTGGAATGCGTTCTAGAGCCCTTAAGGCATCTTTCTAGCAACTTTCAGGAAATTTCATTTTTTTGGCCAAAATTGAAAAAATTGCAAGGGGTTAGCCTTACATTTTTAGTCAAAATCGGCCAAAAATTGACTCTTCTCAAAACAAGGCAGAAATTCATCTGGATGCAAGAGGAACATCAATCAAAACTCTAACACACATCATTTTGAAGATTTGGGCAAAAATTGTCAATTTGTGGAGGGAAAAAAAGGTAATATTTTGAGCGATTTTACTTAATTTTTCGACAGAATTTCCCCTTTAATAGCACATTTGTCTACCAATCCATTTGGAATGCGTTCTAGGGCTCTTAAGGCATCTTTCTAGCAAGGTGAAATTCCTTGAAACTTGCAGGAAAAAGGCCTGGTGGATGCCAGGACACATTCCAATTCGCACGCACAATTTTTTTTACTGCCCCACGCAAACTGTCACCACACGAAAGAATACATAAGTTACAAATAATATATAACTGAGATTCAGGAGTTCACGTTTTGAAGTTTTTATTGTTCATGGCACCTGTATGAACGGTACCCAAAGCTACAAAATAATTCATAAATTGAGTTGACAAGATTTTTTTTTGAGTGGGTGTCACATTCTTTCAACAATAACATATAACTTTGTATCTATCTAGAAAAAAAGAAGTTCCTTTCTATTATACACAAACGTCTGCCACTAAAAATGGCAGATAATAATTTTGTACAAAAAGAGATAAATTTATTACTAACAATAACAAAGACATTTTCTTATAGTCAGCCAAGTATTAAACTGTCCCCTATCTTGTTCATTTCGTTGGCCTAGACTTGCCCGAGAATGTTTCTTTTTTACTTCTGAAATTCATTTGTGAACAGTGTTATTCAATTTGTGGCCAAAAGTTCAAGCCAATGGCAGACTTGGGCAAGTCTAATCTGTACGTGGAAGGAACAATGATCCTATTGTCTTAGCAGCTGAAATGACACCATTCTAAACCAACCAATCACATTAAATATGCAAATTCAGGATGCAAATATCTTACACCTTCTTCCGATATGGAAATATCATACAACTGTACAGTTTACCATAATGCTTGAAAGTTTAACGTTTTGAACCAAACCAAAAATATTGGCATCTTATCAGTTGGGGGAGAAATATTGGCAAAATAATAAAAAGTGAAATTTGACACATAAGAAATATTTCAAACTTTGAAAGAATACTTAAAAATAAAAACCTTTAAAATGAGAACCAATCTGAACTCCCCAAATATTTTACAATATTATTATTGTGTACCTGAAAGCTATAAGCACACAAATTTTTGACTTGCTAACTCTTGTAGGACCATTTTGTCATTACCCGACAGAATTCTTATTGTGACCAACAGATATCTGTAGTTGGCCTTTTTGTCTCTTGTGCATTCACTGCACTTGACGGCCAACACACAGATGCCAACAAGTGTAAAAAAAAAAAAAATAGAAACTGAACAAACACACACGCACACGAAAACCGAGTTTGGACCAGTGATGAGTGTGGTCAAATTGTTGTCATAGATATTATCCCAGATTCCTTTGGGCCCACTTTCAGAGCACTGCTTAACAGCAAAAAAATTGTGTTTACAATGGCAGAAAACTATGCTGCTACTTAATCACCATTTCATGGCGTGGACGTACTAATTTTTGCGCGCATGGAGATTTATATTATGTCATCAATTTAAGCAACTTTTCCCTCTAGGGTTAAGCGTGCTATTGCTGTGCTTACTGCTTATGGCCTCTTTGGAATAGATGGAGGATTGCTAAGCACAAATTCGGCTGGTAAGCAGCGCTTTGAACGTAGGCTCTGTATTCCAGCAAACAGCGTCTTGAAGTTTTGATTGATAAAAATGCAACACAATCAATAGTCCATCCAAACCTAGTTTTGACAGCTGTTTCACAACCATTTACCGACGGCGCTCTGTTAACCACATTTTTAACCCTTTTTCCCCATATGTTGCAGCATAAAACCGAGTCCAATTTCATAGAGGAGATTGATAGCTCACGGTAAAGTTGTGATATTAGCTTTCTGTTTCCAGAACAAGTCCAGTCACAAGTCAGGCCACAAGAAAATCAAAAGTCGATTCACAAAGCCGGATCACAATTAAAAGTTGATAAATAATAACAAACGTCGATGAACAATAACAAGGGAATGTTTTCGTCACAGTTGACCTGAACGGCTTGACTTGAGACTGCGGTTGTAATGGGCTTGTGAAGACTAGTCTTGGTCCAAGTTTAAATTTGGATTTGTTGTTACCCTACAGCTGGTCTGTGACAAGGACAGTAAAGCTGCCATGGGAGTAGAATTCAGTCCACAAGATAAATCCGAATTCCGAGCACACATCACACACACACGTGCATTAGCTTGAATACAGTGCAAGTGAGGTATGCTTGAAAATTTCCTGAGTAGCGCTGCTGAAGTTCCCAAGTCTGGATTGGATTCAAATGTTGATAGCAACCTTGTCAGGGACAAGCTCCTTGCACACAAGTGTCTGTGATATTTGTGCAGATTTGACGATTAATGATGCAAAACAAGACTGCGTCTTGACCTTCAGACTCTGACCATTCAGCGGGAGCCTTCTATCGGGTCCTCGGTATTAACCCGTTGTTGTATTACAAAAAAATGGCAGCTGTTGACCAATCAACAGCTTAGGCTGATTTGCTGCTCGAAATGACGTCACAATTTCTAAAGCCCACTCGCATAAAATTTGCAAGCTCAGATGTATCAGAATGTATAATCCTCAGACTAGTCAGGGACAAGCTGTGTAAGTGGAATATAACCAAATCCAGGCTTGAATTAAGACTATTTGTGGACTTGCGATGGACTCTACTACAATAATGCCATAATTGGAGTCAAACGCTACTGCGATTCTAAATCTGCTTGTGATCAATACAGTGCAGATTTCATTACTAAATTTTGGGCATAGATCTACAGTTTGTTCAAAGCTTTACATCACAGGATTTGATGGCAACCAGGAATGTGTGAACAACCAGGGCCAGATTTTATGGTCCCGCCTCGCACAACAAATACAGCTGTGCTAATGTATGTTTAAAGCACACAAAAAATCAGCTGAGATCATAAGGGGTCACAAGCGATATGCATCAGAACAAACATTTGTTTGTAACCTGTGTTTTTTGCTCAGCACCCGATTTCAAAAAAGCGCTGTGACACGTCGTAACTGGAGTGGAAAGGTTCGACACAAGACACAAGTTACGACGTGTCCTTGGTCATCACAAGATGTCAAGCATCTCGTCAAAGCCAGTTTTAAGCCATAACAAATTAAATAAATGAGACCACAATACCAAGACAATGTATGTGGTGAAGCTGTAAACAGTTATGTAGTCGAGTCCATCACGAGTCCTTTCATAAGTCCAATCACAAGTAACTTGATGACGATGACAAAGGAATGTTTTTGCAACAGTTCATTTGAATAGCTAGTGCCTTGACTTGGGACTGAAGAACTTGTGATGGACTTGTGATGGACTTGTGATGGACTTGTAATGGACTTGTGATGGACTTACTGATGGACTTGTGATGGACTTGCACGGACTCGCGATGGACTGGCCTACAACACTGGTTGTAAATGGAATATGCAACGTGAGAAAATCAGACAACTCTTACCTGAATATCAGATGACTATTTAAATAATTTCTGTCCTAGTATACATGAAATAGTCACTGTGCCGTGCTGTAAATACACCTCTAACGTGTCACACTTTTTGACGGGTTTTGTGAAATGAATCGCAGGATACATCGCAGGAATACGACGCATCGCAGCGCTGCAAGTGCAATGCATTGCAAGTTTCAATGAGTCTCATGAAATCGGGTGCTAGAAGTCATTTCTGTGCTAAGCACGTTTTTACGCTTAGCGGCTCCGTGAATTTGGAACCAGGCTTTTATCTGTGTGCCAATACGCCAATGGAGGGCCAAGGCATGCACAGACCGTATAGGTTTTTCAAAACCCTTTTCCTGACCCTTTTCATCCGCTTCTTGCTGCACACTTGGTGGAAAAATACTCTGTGTAATTTGGAAAGAGATTTGTGTATGAAAGAATGGCAGTGGCCGCACTGACATCACGTGAAAACCCTCTCTATGTCCGTGTCTGGATTACGTGACTACGGCTGGTGTCTATGCAAGCAGCCAAAACCACTACAATAGACACATGTGTCACTACCGACCGAAGCCGAGTGATTCGGACACCGTTCTTGCTTCAATCCTGCTCGTGCCATATTTCAGACATAAAGCTAATCCTATTTATACAACTGTAAGCCATCGACATTGAATGCCCCATGCTAAATTTAAGACTTAATAGTGTTAAACATTTCAGCCCAAAGATGGTCTTTTTTCAAGACATTTTGTTAAAGCCATTGGTGAGCATTTTTCAAATATATTTCAGGAGTCTCTCAGTCATTCAAATTTTGACAAGGAACAAGACAATCCTCAAACGAATGAAAGTTGTCTTCAACTTAAAAACAATTGAATTGTATTGGATACACTAAAGGGATGTAATAAAAAATGGTGTTTTTTCCCTCTAAAATCCTTGTAATTTCAAGTCCCAATAGTTCTTAAAAAAAGATTCAACCTAAAAATGTGCTCCTAAAATGCACTACCCTGAAATGAATGATGGAAATTTTTGTCTCAATGAAAACAACTAGATGTATACCAAAGCTTGCTTAAAAAAATTGAAATATTTTAAAAATGTTGCATACATTAAGGAGATTTTAAAAAATGAGATAACAAAAATTGAGAGCGCTTTGAATAAATGTTTTGGATCAAGTTTATCTTCCAAGCATGTATGGTGTATGATCCAAGGAACAAAGATCCTGCGAGATATCCCAACCAGTTTCCTTGCAGTGATGTCCGTTTCAGCATTCTCAAAAAAGCGATGACAGTTTTTTTTTTTTTTTCCGTTTCCCTCAAAAGGGAAAGAAAAATGGCAATTGAAAAAAAGACTGGAAAGTGCCGGTTTATCTTGAGTGAGCATCTTTCTCCAAGTGTTTGTCTTTTTGTGCCGAGGACTCGGCGGGCGATGAGTTCCTTGCACCGGGAGGCAACGCTAAGCTAGGAGAGGATGTCCGACTCCTTGGATTTAAACCAATGCTCGTCGACGGGATGAGAGGGGGAGGTTGGGGGGCCGTGGACGGTGAACCGTTCCTGTGAACATTGTTTGGGTACATCATACCGTTACGGAATGGTCCAGAGGACACTGGGGGCATTAACCCCATGGGGCGTGGTTGTAAGCAGAGTGCTGGGTCTACGCCTTGGAGTATCCGTACTCGCTCAGCTTCGTCGCGGATCATGCGTTCCCTCTCCTCCATGTAATGCTGGATGCGTTCCTGCTCCAGGCGACGCAAGGGGTCCAGTCCAATGGGGTTGTCACGGGTGAAGTCGTGTGGCTCCCGATCCCGGAATCGTTCGTGATCTACTAACGGGCCCATGGGCTGGAGGGTGGCCCGCATCATGCGGTCTCGCTCATATTCCCTCAGATCAGGCCGGACTAAGCCTTGCTCACGATGCAGGGCTTCCAACCCTCGTCCGAAGGGATCCCAGGGGGAGAGTCCTGGCGCCGGGTGTCTCTCCATTGGGTGAAACTGGGGTGCTCCTAACTGCCCTGCCAAGCGACTGCGTTCAAACAGGGACATCCCGGGTGCCATACTCATGGCGGGATGCAAGTTGGGATGCGAGTTGTGCAATGCTCGTTCCTTCTCCGATGACGCTCCCGTTTCCTTACGTTCCTCCTTCCCAACCAGCAAGCCGTGCACATTGTTGAACGCGCTCTCTGACTTATTAGCGTGTAGGCCGTCGCTGCTCGGCCGGTAATGCGAGTCCCTGATCGGCGACCTGGAGGAAAACTCCCGATTCCGGGGGTGCTCGACTGAGCCTAGTCGGGATTCGTGGGGATGGTGCTCCCCGTCCCGCGAGAGCCCTCTGTCGTGGTTCTGGACAGTTTTGCTGGAATCACGTTCCTCGCGACGGTGCTCGGAATCGTTGGGCCAGCTGTGTGGAACGGGAGAGATTCTTTCTTTCTTTCCTGGTCTTGACTCGCTGTCTCTCCGCTCCCTGTGAACAGTGAAAATCCATAAAGGTTAGAGAAGTAAACGATCCACAGCAAAGAAAAATACCTTTCAAGAAAGACAATGCATTAATGAATGAATGTTCCGATCCCCATTAATCGGGGGTTACAATACCAATAAAAGTAATGCAACGATCTTTATGCAAATGCAACGATCTTATTTAATTTAAAAAGGGATTCTCACCTTTCTCTTTCTTTATCCCTTTCCCGCTCGCGCTCTCTTTCCCGTTCCCTCTCCCGTTCCCTTTCCCGTTCTCGTTCCCGGTTCCTCTCTTCTTCCTTAGCCCGTTCCCGGTCAAAGTCGATGTGGAATCCTTCCTTCAGCCTCTCTGCGTCGGGTTTGGACCAGCCCGGCGGCGGGGGCCCCGGGGGAAAGCCCGGTGGGGTGCGATGGAGGCGATTCCAGGCGGGGTGGTGAGGGCTGACCAGGCCAGGAGGCACACCTAGCATCTCACGGCCATTCAAGAAGCCGCTCAGGTGAGCTGGGTTAGAACCTAAGGAGGGGGGTACCAGACAGATCCCAAGTCACAAATGTTAATTTGGGTGGTAGAGTGCTTGAGACATCTGCACTAGGTCACTGTCATGGGTTCGAATCCCACCAGGTTGAAATTGTGAGTTCTTTTAACACAAGCTCTCAGACAGTACTGGGTACAAAGAGCTTTTGAGAAAAAATACAAGTGAAGGACCAAACTCAATCTTCAACAGTGTGCTTGCACACCATGTCAAACTGATGTGAGAAGTTTTTTGGACTAAACTTACCAGGATTAGCCAATTGAAAGCCGAAGGTTGGAGGATAGCTGCCGGCCCGAGCTACCGGAGGTAGGCCAAACTGACCCGGGGAGGAGTTGAGGAAGGGTCCATGGTGGGGGTTTGCTCCTAGCTGGGTGTGGGGACCTCCAGGGCCACCTGTTCAATAAATGAAACAATGATGACAACAATTTATTTAAGTGGGGGGGGGGGTGTTTAATTATTTTGTGTGGTGTTAAAAGATTTCAAAACATTCTAGTAACCATCCCTTTGACACTGGCACTGATGTTGAAATGATGTCCTTTTATAAGATCCATACACTGACAACATTTCTAATTGACGCTAAGAAGGTGCAGTTCTTGCCAACACATGTACATATGGGTCATTCCATAAATTTGGGGTTCAAACGTGTGACATTTTTGAGTGTCCCTGTTACACCTAACCTGTGCAAATTCCCCATACAAGTAATTGTTAAAATTGACTTCAAAGTATTTTTGATTATTTATTTGGCAGGCACTTTGCTTTACATAATCACTCTTGGAGATAGAAGGCGTTAAAGAACGTGTCCTGAATTTACAAAATCTTATATCAGATGTAACATGAACCAAACAAAATTGGATAACAAATTTATGAAATGCCCAATGTACATACATATCCAAGGGAACGTAACTGACAATACCAATTAAGCTAAGCCGGCAGGTTATGAAGATAGAGAGAGGGATTGCTTACAATAAGTGTATCTGCTTAGCAGACACAGACAGTACCGACATGTTTCATTTTTTAGTTAGTACACTGCTTGTGATCAAATAATGGGCAATTTTTCACCAGTAGCGTAACCAAAGAGGGGGGGGGGGGTGCGCTGAGTGATTGAAATAGGTCTCGTTCAAATTACTTCATTTCCTACAGACCATCCACGTGCATCGGCATTTTGAGCGTCAACTTGCATTATGCGCATCGGCTGCGTCGTATTTCCAACACAATTCGAGCAACAAGCACGCGTGTTTGGAACATTTTCGACACTGCGCAATGTGTGCTTGATTACGTAAAATACGCAGTTGCCATTCTCCTACAGAGATAGCCGTCATTGAGCGAGCCCTACGGGATGGAATTTTGAAAAGCAAAATCGGGACGGTGATAGAAGCAAATCGGGAAGGTGAAACTGGACAACGGGATACAACTCTATTTTGCAACTCAACATTTTCTGTTGATAGCCCTTTTTAACGAGTGCCATTTTTCACGAGTGCCCTTGTTTACATGAATGTCGTGCCCATGAATGTCGTGCCGTGTTGAAGAGCGCCACCTATTGTCTGAAAGTTTCCGGTTTGAACAGCACCCCATTGGAAGAAGCCCCAGGAATGGCATGCCAGCTTAAATGTCATGCTGATTTCTGATAACTACATCAATCTGCTAAGCAGTATTTTTGGGTGCTTACCGTGAGGGAAGAGGCTGGTTTGCATGGGCAAGTCTGGCGGTCTGTGGGGTGAGAACAGGTGAGTGGGAGGCCGGCCGGCAAACGGATCGGCCTTGCCTAACTGATCCTTCTGGGCATCTGCCTTGGCCTGAGATTTGAAAAAAATAAGAAGATAACACAGAATGACATATTTTTTTAGTGAAGAAGAAAGCAGTGTTTTAGTCCCGTCCCGTCACAAGTCCAGTCACAAGTAACAGGGATGTACAATAACTAAGGAAAGCCTTTGTCACCGTTCACTTGAATAGCTCGTGTTTGTTTGTAATTATTCGGCAATTGGCCGGGATAACCCACGAAAGTCTCTCGACTTAGTCCCTAGGTAGAAGATGTGGAAGGAAATTGGGCAATTCCACACCAAAGTGGACATGACACCAAAAAATTCAAATACATGTGACTTAAACAAATTTGGCATCAAATGAAAGGTAAAAGTCTATATTTTCAAGATTTGAAGTCGGAATTTTATTTATGTAATAATTTATGTAATAATCCTGTTTTAAGCCTAAAAATGTGATTAATAGTGATATGAAAGTATTCTACCAATAGACACACAAAAATATGTACTAATGCCATCAGTTTCTGTCATGAGAATGTATTGGTCTTGAAAAACCGACTAAAACTTGTTTTTAGCATTTTGCGTAATTTGTTTTGCTTCAGTGACTTCTAATATTTCAGCCTTCGAAAATGTCCTTCCGTTACTGAAAAAATACATATTTTTAATTTATTTTTAAAACTTGCAGTATGAATGCATTGAAAGTTATTGTGCAAAGCAAGTTTAGGTAGGCCTTCAATATGACATTATAACTGACACTGCTGTACTTCTCGTTTTTTAATTACAATTAATTAAATCACGTCCTTCCGTTACCAAATTGGTAACGGAAGGACGGTAACGGAAGGACAAATCGTATTTTTATCAAATGTTACGACATTTGCGCTCATGTTTGAAAAATGAAAATCACTGCAAATACATGCATGTATAATGAGCATTGAAAGGACATTCATGTGACCCACCTTCACAAAAGCGGGATAAGCAGGGCAAGGTGTTTATTACAAAGGAAGGCACAGGCATGTACAACATGTACAATGTACATGTACATATATGCCGATGTACCAGTACTTGTACATGTATGGAGTTGTTGCAGAAAATCAAATCATAAAGTTGCTGCCATCAGCATTCATGGACAATAGAGAAAGATACGAATTCTGTGAAGCCATTCCAGAAGCAAATTAAGTCAAAAATGAGATGGCAGAAAGTACCGGTACTTTGGGGCACTTTCATTCAATTTACATGTGTAAGACATGTGAGGTGCAATCTTTGACAAATTATGCCCAAGTTAACAATTTCAGTTTGGATGTTTAAAAATTAACTGTTACTACTCTAAATCATTGTAATTTGATTTCAAACATTGATTTTAGAGTTCAATTAAAAGCAACACCTAACTGAAGCCATCAGTTCTACCGGTAGATGTTTTTACCTTAAATGTACATGTAGGCTGGTCGCCCCCCCACCCTTTAGGTAAACCTTTGAACCTACTGGTATTATTATTAAAAGTTGTTGGTGAACATGTAACCAATATACTCAAGAGTTCAAATACTGTGTATTTCAACTTTTAAGGATTGAGGTGATGGGTTTGAAGTCTATTTCTGTAGTAGTCCTGTGTTCGTGAATTATGTGTTTTGGGTTGTTTTCGTTTTTCTTTTGTTATCATTAATTAGCAGGCTTTTATCTTTATCTCAATAGTTTCTTGGGTATAATTATTTATGCCAGGTCTGCATATTGTTGATTTCACATTCAGTTACACATTTCAGCAATTTGTTTCACTTGTATAATTAGTGTAAATTCACATTTTGTTCATGCTATAATTGAGTAAACCTTTTGTCCTTCCGTTACCGTCCTTCCGTTACCAAATTATAATCTGCTTAAAACGTTGTAATTATATTACCGAAACACTTAAAGTCAAATGAAAGGCGGTATAGTATAGATAAAGCTTCAGGGATTCCATTTCCTACCTTTAAAATATAATTGCCCCATAAAATTCACAGAGTTTACGCAAAACGCGAGTAAGTTGGAAAACCCTTGTCCGTTTTACCGTCCTTCCGTTACCGACCTCATTAATATTCATAATTCATAAACGGGAGGCATTCATGCCCCCCAAAAGTGTGGAAAATGAAAGTAGCATTATAGCAATACAATTGTGACATTTGTTTACTGTAACTATGAACAGTGTCTGTGATACACACATTTGAAATTTTGTTTAATGAGTGAAAATGTCCTTCCGTTACCGTGGAATTGCCCAATTACAGTTTTAGTGGTGGGAGGAAAACCCCAGAATGCTGCGAATTGGCAAAAAGATGAACACAGTTTGCAGTAAATGCTTCTTGACGTCAACTTTGCATCGCATTCGCATGAAGTATGAACCGACTTTCACTCTCTTTGTGTAACTGCGTGAAGGCATGCTTGTGCATTTTTCTTCTTTTCGTATCTTCAAAGCATCACATGATTGTTTTCTATTTGTCCATGCAGTGTTTTGCGTTAGTGGTGTAGTTTGCAAGGTCCTTGGAGCTGCATGGGTGGGGTAGTAGTGGCCATTTGAGGCAGTGATCCATGATGTGGTCTGCTTCTCTGCACTCACAGATGGTAGGGCCGGTCTTGCAACCCCATCGGGCCAATGTAGCTTAGGATCTACCAGTTTTTGTCCTCGGGCGATTGAGAGTTTTCCACTCGATTCATTTTGCTTGTGCATTGAATCACTGCAATGCCCCGAGAAAAAAAATGGGAATAAAAAGAAAATCTCACCTTTTGCTGTTGATGATAGATCAACCACGCAACGTTGACGTGGGCAGCACACCATTTACCAGGTTTCTGGAAATCAACAAAAAATAAATAAATTATGAAATTATGAAATTCAACCAATCCAATTTAAATGGTTTTTGAGGATTGTATACTTGAGGCATTTTGGCAAAACGAGACGGAACTGGGCACAGTCCGTAGTGGAGAAAAATGCAAAAAAATTAGAAACCAAAGCAAATAAGGAGGTGATTTGTTATTTTACTTTAATTTTTTTTTACATGTTTGAAATGCAAACTTTTTATCAGCCATTACTTGTCAACAGAATGTCCGATTGAATCGCAACAAACAGTATTGGAAGGACAATTGTATTCTCTTTCCTATTACCTGCAAACCGTCACTTCGACCTCTGCCCAGTTCTGTCTCATTTTGCTAGAACATTCACATATTATTCATGAAATATTCCCAGAGACGAAATCAAGAAGGGAGAATAATTCCTGGCAAAAAGTCTCTTCTCAGGTTCTACGATCATTTGTTCCTCTCTACCTTGAGGGCGGCAAGTGTTGGTCATGTTGGCCACGGATTCCGTTTCATGCCCCTGCGACAGACCGTTACATTATAAGAGCACTTTATCCATGACTCATTGCATGTTAGGAGAAAAAAGAAGTTACATGCAAGTTTGCTCAGAGCAATGGTTGGCAAGAGGAGGTTTGTGAGACAAATTATTCTCCCCACGATGATTTGATCATATTTGTGAACTATTGACCCCACTAACAGCTCCAACATGCGAGCATTTTGTGCATCACAATTTTTCAAATGTGACCCGTTTTACATGTAAACGCCTTTTGGCAAGTCGCAGCAACCTGCATTTTGAACCTGCACTTTGAAGTCGCATTTGAAGTCACATGAAAAATTAAGGGCTTTTAAAATTTGAACGTACAGTTGAGGTCTACAACTTTTTTTAAGACAGCATGCTAAAATGTGCTTATTATTCACAATTTGCTTGACAAGTTTTGAATAACTGAGCCAAAGAAAATCATAGTGTTTTTTGCATCGGATTTTTTGCTTGGAAATGTTCCTGTGGTACCAATTTCATGGTGATGCGAGGAAAACGGCTTCATAAGATTATTCGCTGAGCAGAAGTCGGCTGTATTCCTGCCACAAGTAAAATACAATTCATGTGTTGTCCTGAGTAATTGTGAGGAAAAAAGATAAAACTCCTCAGGCGGGACTCGAACCAACGACAAAAGTGAATAGTTTGGTTGTGGTACCCGTTGCTGTATCAGATTCGAACCAGCCAGCTGGCTCCAGCAAGCTCAGCTGCGAGTGGTAAGATGTCTGCACTAGAAAGCATGAGGTTGTGGGTTCGAGTCCCACCCGAATACTTTTCTTTTCACAATTATTAGTGACAACACTGAATATACAGTGTTTATAAAACATATGTCAGTTAAGGGCAACACCCAACTTGAATTCACATCACCGCGATGCAAAAATTCCATCTTGCGAATAACATGTCATTTTTGTTGGTAGCCTGATATCGCTAGGCAAATATTTTCTGTTATATTAGCAAATTTCTTTGCCTAGTGAATTTCTATGTTTAGCAACTTAGCGTGGTTTCTTTGTACAGTTATTGGCCAGGTAAGCGATAAATTTAACAAGGCAAGCAGTTATACTAACCATCATGGACAACCTAGACAGGGGTAACCCCGGGGGTCGATCCGCCCCTCCTTTGAAGTGTAGCGCCCCCTCCAAGACTGACCGATGCTCTGGTGGTGGAGCTTGCTGTATCGAGAACAAAACAACACAAACATGCATCATCTTTGCTCAACCCCAGTTTCACAGTCTAGGTATGAGCGAATGTTGGGAGTGAGTACAAACCAACAGTTCCTCATGAGCTCGGACTTCTAAGATGGGTTCCTGCCTCTTTTTTGGAAGTTGAGAATACCAAGGACCAGGAACTGGTCTAATTGCCAGTCAGTGGTAGCTCTTGTTATCATGCAAAATCTCTCTTTCCCTGGTTTGCCCAAACAGATTCCAAAATGTAAAATGGATGAAACAGTGCATGTGGACCAATTTGAATAAATTCAAAATTATTGTTATAGGCTCTTTGCACAAGTACCCTCTCCCCGGTAAGATAGGGAGAGTTCGGGGAAACCATTGGGTTCAAACACGAACATGCAATGGCTTTAATTTGTCGTGTAAGCTTAACGTTTAACGCTTGAACCAGTACACGCACGTAGTGTGTCCTGTCCGCGGGGCTCTCAAAAGTGGGAAAAAAGTGCCCTTTCGTGGTTGTGCAAGGAGCCCAAAATCATCCTTATGGGGCTCTCGAAAGTGGTCAAAAAGTGCCCTTTCCTGGTTGCGCACAGAGCCCATAATCATCCTTTCTACATGTAGCATTGGTCAAGTAACATCTCACTGGCTTGAACAATTGATTTTGTATCACGACATACATCAGCTAAAGATCACCCATCAAAACTCATTCAACAGAAAAAAAAACATCATCATCGGCTCGGCAAAAGGAATTATAGAGACTGAACAACTGAAAACATACCGGTACCTTGGGCTGGAACGCTCCTGATCCGAAGCTGTTGGCCATGCTGGTAGGTGGAAGAATGGGAGCCATGCCTGGAGGATAACCAATCCCAAGCTGCAGAGAGAAGTCAGGGGACAAGACAAGGAGGACAGATTAAAAACAAGTTGTGGTCAATAATGTGAAACCTTACATGGCTCAGCCCAAGGCAATTCTAGAAGCTAGCCATGGACAAGCTTGTGCCATTTGCAAGTAAGTACCATACCACTGGATATCCCCCATCTGCCTTTCCTATTAACAGTTAATTTGGAAAAATCCTGTTTTATGCCATGATAAACACTTTAGCCCTGGAGTGTCTGAAGATTATTTGCACAAAGACTTTAAAAATTTCATTGATAGTGATGATCTGTGAAAGTACTTTCTCATCTATAAACACTTTTTATGCTGTAACAGTTGTTATTTTCAAAATTCAGGGTTGAGTGAGTTCACACGGAACGAAAGCTAGATATCTGGTTTGGGCTTTGATTGATCAACTTAGGTATTTTAAAGTGGGCTAAAAAATACAACATGAAAAAACCCTATTTCTAACCACAGTGAGATTAGGTTTCTGTCACATGCTTTCATTTTTTTCCCCCACGATTACCAAGCGTGCAGATTGAAATGTGGTTGTTGTTCATCTGACTGTACAGAATCAGATTACATGGCTTAGAATACGAATTATGTCATCGGGCCATCAAAAGATTGAAATACAAAAAAGACTGAAATTCAATAACTTTGAAACATATCATGCATTGTTCATGTCGGTGTTTTGCATAGAATCAGATTTGCGTATGATCTCTAGACCATCTGTTCAAAATCTAAAATTCAGTTACAAGTTGTTATTGTCATTGTGATGCGTATTACAGGGAATTTGCGACATCGAACTGATCAATGGGAAAACAAGAGAAAAACACAGTGTGATGGGAGGCTCTGGAATTCTGAAGGAATTTAGATGAACATAGGGATTTTTTTTCTTAAGACCGGCGAAGTTCTTACAAAGAGAACAGGCACATTTTTGAAGAAAAAAAATTGGGAACTTGGATCTAATTCTGGTGTTAGAATACAAACTAAATTGTGATAACGTCGCAAATTGCTAAAAATTCTAGAGAGAGGTGCAAAAAGAAGGAAACCCACTTTTGACAGGAATTTTAACCTACTTAGTTAACTTTTTTGAACTGGTTTTTTTTTTTTATAATGTAGTGAAATATAGCTCTTCAACCATACATGGTGAAAAAAATCTTTAAAAAAATCGCAAGAATAGTGTCACTATGCTAATTTGATTACAAGTCACAAAAATCACTGTTGTCCACGTGTAAGTTTAGAGTAGTGTTTTTTTGTCTTCAAATCAAGCTCCGGAGCTCAGTCAAGCGGATGGAATAAAGTCCTCCATGGACAAACAGGTTTGGCACATGAAGTTTTTAAACTACCATATCTCTGAGACAAAATATGCATGTGCAATCATTTTTTCGACACTTATGTTTAAAGATCAATACTTTAATACCATTAAATTGAAGTTTTGAAATATGCTCAACAAGTAGGTGACAATTGCTGTCAAAAGTAGGTTTCCTTCTTTTTTTTACCACCTTGTATATGGATTGGATCAAAAATCGATGGTTCGTGTGATGAAGTAAAAAAGTCATGAAAATCTATCTCATCACTTTTTTTTTTCGACAATGCAAAATTCAATCTGACCGAAGTATGTTCAAAGGGTCCAAAACACAAGCGATACACTTGTCACCAGACAATTTGGGATATTAGTTTTAAATGTACCCAGTTGGCGAAAATATCGCTCAGCCCAAAAAGCCGCTCCTGCGATGTGGTCACAATATTCTGATACATGAATGCCAAGAACATGTGTTAAACATCAGCTGCAAACATTAATGATTTTACCATTAGCTCCCTTTCGAATAACTTTCTTCATTTTTTTTTGTAAAAAAATAAATAAGAAAACTAAAGAAGCATGTTGTTGGGTTGCGTGTCTACCCAAGTCATCTAATCCTAGGCTGATCGCTAATTGGATTATATGCTCTATATGGCTATAGGATATGAATTCTATGGCTCGGCGCAATCTACATGTATGAGCATGATTCACTGGCTCTGAGCGATGACTGACGGGTCTGAGGTCGGAGGTCAAGTACAGGGGATCAAAACAGCTCTTCATTCTGCCACCTGTTCTGGCAATGTATATTTTCCTATTAGATTCACTGGAGATTTTCGGAAGGGATACTGTAAAAGTTCTTACAAGTTAAAGCTACAGTTCATCAATTGCAGCTATCCAAAAAGTAACTGACGTAATTATTGTTGAAAAACTTCCCTGGTTGAAAGATAGTAAGGTGACTAAACTCCCTGTGAAACGATTCTTTCTGGCATGCTGTCTTTTTGAAGAAATCAACGAAAGAAGGCCTTTCCAACGATGCGTCTTAATTTCAGTTAGTACTTCGTTTTCTTGAATTATAACGTCCATGCCTTCTCAAAAATATTTTTTTTCATTTCCAATTTGATCACATTAATACGAAATGTGATACTGCATATTGGCAGGATAAGATTGTAACATTTTAACTTCAAAAACACTCATGTTTTCGTAACTCACGGCGCGACAAATTACTTGTTTTTTACCCCAACACCGCATTCGAAAACAAATGCTAATGTAATGCACAGGCAGGCACCAGACTACTCCTCATTCGCATACGTGTTGAAAAATTTTGCACACGCAAATGATCCACTACCAGGGTGAGAGAGCAGGTAGTGGTGGCGCGTACTGCTTGACACCCTGGGGACGAGGTTGGGAATAGATGGATTTTGTTGAGGAGGGGGAAACCCTGTCCCCTGACTTGATGACGATGGCCTGGCTATTAATATTAATGTCTAAATGATACACAATGGTCAGACAGTTATCAGAAGAAACAATGATTTCAATGACAGATAGAGAGAAGTTCTGAATGAACAGAAGTTGGACAAGAAGACAACATGGCAACACAGTACAGACTTGAACACATGGATGCGATGACTCTACATAGGTCAAAGTTATCTAATATGTGTGTTGAGGTAATGCTTCTGATAAACTACGCAATGTTCACAAAAATGAGTCTTTGTTTTCTAAATGGGTTGCTATATCTAGTGGTGATCTACATGTAGCAAACACCTGGTAGTCCTAAAATGTTTCAAAAGCTTCACTATAGCTCAACCAACTAATTGATATACAAGAAGAGGAAAATGGGACAACTACTTCAGGTGCCTTTTGCTTATGGGATTCGCTGTTGATAATCCATGCACCAACCGTTAACTGCTCTTGACACAAGACCACTCAGTCAATCCAAAAGGAAGTTGTTAAGTGATTCGGTTCAACTGGGAAATAAACTCTGAAAATTCCGCCCAAAAACGAAGTCTATCTACTGAAATTGTGAAAATGTTCCTGTTACGATGCCCTTTCATTCCAAAACCAACCCGAAAGTGTGGTCGCACACCCTGAATTGAACACGTACAATTTTACCGATAGTAAGACTTGTTTTTATGTTTTGACAAAATATCTCACAATTCACAAATCCGCACTTCAGAAATTGGAAGAGAAAAAACCCAGCTTTGTACTGTTCATAACTATGGACAAACTGAAAATGTGGAATGTCCCCACCCTGCCTCTCCAAGGTCCCCTCTTGCAAACTGCATCCTACTTATGCAACTGATATCCTCGGAGAAATAATGCTTCCTGCCTGAGCAACGGGTGATTCAGGAGAGCTTACTAGACCACAGATCTGCGGTAATCTGTGGAAATCCCTGCTTTACTTCGAAGATAATCTCCCCTGACAAACTAAATTGAATATATGTTAATTGAATGACGTGTGCACACTGCTTAAGTGGTGTAACTTTGGAGGGAGAGGGGGGCACAGCCTCTATGCTCCAGGCCAGGCTGACCCTCTTCCCCTTGTGCCCCCATTTGGTGAAGGGAAAAACGAAGATTCTTTTTTTTCAGTTGACTCCAAGGTTTGCCACCATCCAGAATATGAGCCCCCCCCCCCCCCCCCCCCCCCATACAGACCTCCAATCGCTAATCAACCGCTATGGGTGCAGGACAGTAAGCCCAAAATTGCCCACGCGGGCCAAATCATGATTCAATTTTTTCCGCTATTAGAGCATTTTGTGGGCCATGAACTTGAGGGTTTATTAACAAGAAGGTTGGAAGCCGTGGACAGGACTGCCAACTTGTGTTCCTGCGAAATTCGGGTGAAATGGGGCCCAAAATCGCTCTAATTTGCAATGGTGCGTAGATGTCATGTTACAAAACAGATATGGGCTTCAGAACTACTTTTCGGGGGATCATCCTTGGATGGAAATTTCTCCCAAAAGTTAACAGAAAGATGAAGAAACAAACTTTGATTTGATGTGTCTCAAACACCTTGGAGAGTTGAGAGTATACATTTGAAAGTGGGCGTAATTATCACTGGGCTCTATGGCAGTTTACTTACTGCTCTGTAACCTACATGTAAGGCTACTGTTCTAGTCCCATCCCTCTCTTAAAGGTACAGTCCATCTTTTGTCATTGGAAAGGCCTTCTTTCATTGATTTCTTCAAAATGACAGCGTACAAGAAAAACCAATTTCACAGGGAGCTTAGTTCCCTTACTATCTTTCAACCAAGTATGTTTTGCAACAATAATTATGTCAGTAACTTTTTGGATAGCTGCAATGATGGACTGCATCTTGAAGTATTACAAGCCTACAAATTACAAGTATTACACAAATTTCTATACTTGTCGGCAGCTCACTACAATTCTGATGGACACAGTATACAACTTTCTTATTATCTTTAACAGGAAAAATGAGAGTGTATGAAATAAGCAGGAAGTCATTCAGTTTAGAATGGTCTACGCATGAAGGATGTCATCACAGCAACACTTGACGGAAGTAAAGAATTCAGTCTATAGAAGAAACTACGGCTATGTCCGAAGTCATTGGATATGGCTGGAAATTACGCACGTGTCAATAGGAAGCGGCTTCAGCCGGCTGCAGCGGCTTCCTATTGACACGTGTGTAATTTTAAGCAGTAGTCAAGTGATTTGGACATGGCTAAGACTGCACTGACATGCATCACTCGATGAAAGCATGAATGACACTCATAAGATGGAAAGTATTTAGGTTTGAGGTCAGTCCAAGAAATATGAGAAGAAACAGTGGAAATATCTGCTCTATGCACACGCATCTACAAGTATGAAACTATACACAAGTCTAATGATGACATTTCAATCACGAACCCAGTCAATCAAGAATTGAAAGCATGAAATAAGGTGAAAAACTACTTCTTTGACAAATTACATGAATCATCAACCCCCAAAATACCGTTTGCCAAGAGTAAATAGCGCCCTCAATAGGCGAGGTATGGGCAGGATAATGATATACAAGTATGTAAGATTGAAGCTATCAAAAGTTAGCACTATTGCAACTGATAATAGTGAGAGTGAGAATTATGAATGATGACTGAAGGAAATGTAAGCGTCATGTATTTTTTTGGGAGGGTGTTTTTTCTTGAGGAATTGTGGGAAGGACCACTCACATGGCGGTGCAACAATCCCGGATCTATTTCAGAGTAATTGTCAAACTGCAAGAAACAGAGATAAACAAAAATTTAGTGAGAATATAAAATTTCTCAATTATAAAAAAAGTTCATTCTTGCATAAACTCAAGTCTATGTTGTGTTTGGTTTCCTGGGCATCTTACAAATGTCTCACAAATTTGTCAAGCTAATTCTAAACAACTGTAAGTATTTTAATGTGAACTCTTAATCTGTATTTTCGCTAACAACGCTGACAATATACAACATACAAGAACACATTAATGACCCCCTTTCTCCCTCCCAAAAAATCCCTCAAAAATGCAAACAAAACTCACAGAAAAATGCAAACACAAACACAAAGGCGCCTTTGAGATTAAAAAAAAAAAAAAATAGATTCTTTAAAAAAAAAAGAAGGGCCTACCATACATGTAACTTGTTTCGAACTTCCTACTACAACAAATCTCCTTTAGGAGGTCTAGTACATAATTGTTAAGAGCTTCTCCCTGGCAACACCCCTTCCCCCCCTCCCCTTGCAAACTCTCCTCCCCACAAATATCTTTATCTACCACAACACAATCCCATCAAAAACACACCAAAAAAATGAACTAGTTCTAAAACAAGGTTACTTTCTCTATTGGTATTCAGCCTTTTTAACCCTAGCATAATTATTTCACTTAATTTTTTTTTAATGGATGGGCAGGTGGAAGGGCAGAGGCGGAAATTAACTAAAGTTTGATGATGTAACCCCCCCCCCCCCCCCCCCCCCGCAATACACCCTCTTTGGTTTATCAACACGCCCTGAAAATAACCGACACGGACTGCCCCCACCCCCCTCCCCCTAACCAAGGGCTTAGGGGATTGGGTGAGTAACAGCCCCTCTGTTCCACTGCTCGTTAGTTTCATTTCCTCTGCCAATTTCCTTGCCAATCATAAAGGGGGTTGGTGGATTGTTAAAAGTCTGTCAAGGCCAAGGAACGGAAAGAATGAGAGAGAGAAATGGGGGGGGGGGGGGGGAAGCTGGAAAAGGGGGTGGGGGGAAGAGGGGGGGTTTCAATGATTTGTGAAAAGATCGGAGGATAAGTTGTCACTCTTCTTGAGAATACTTTCAAATCTAAAAGTTGATCTTGTTAGTGGAGTCTGGCTTGAATAAAAACTGGTTGAATCTTGGTTCAATCTGGCAATTAACATTTGTACTGGATATGGCACTTTAGATCCAGGGGAAATTGAGTTAATTTTACTGATCAATTCTTTGGGGGAATGCTTTGCAAGAGCCGGAGTTTTTGGCGGATGATGCTATCCAGTTAACTTTGGGAATTGACTTCCTGAAAAGATTTGGATTAATTCTGCAGCTCAAGATAGATAACTTTCCGGCATTTCCGGCGAGGTTATACATTTTGTCCCCGGCGTAATATCCAAGCTATCTTGATCCCAAACGAATGTGTTCTAAGTACAAACAAATCGTTCATTTACAAATATTAACATACATGTATACCGGTATATCTAACCCAGGTCTGCAAATCAACGACCCCGTTTTAAAGTCAGCACATTTTGACATTTCAAAACTTAAAAATGTTGTGACAGTCTTGTATTCACAGCGTGTCATATGCTACATAACAAGAAAAATTGAATAAAACAAGAAAGACTTCTTCTTTTTTTAGCGTTTAAGAAAAAATACCCACTCCTAAATGGCGTCTCACATGGCATCGTCGCACAGGAAATTTCAATTTAAGAGATTAGGTCCAAATTATCGAGTTATCACAACACACACACAGACATGCGCAAAATCCCGGCTCCAAACCCACTTATTCACTCGCTAAGAATCAAATCTTTTGAGCTGTGAGGCTTTCGAGCATAATCCCCGTTTTCCCTCCAACAGCCAAACTAAGTCTTTGAAGATCAATTTAAATCAACAATGACGGAGAGGGTGTTAAGAGTGCTTCCCAACATTCACACAGAACTGATAGAAGAAATGCTGGTAAATCACAGCCAATATCTAAAAAAAAAATCTGATTTTTGAATCGCGGGCGAGTCACTCGCTTTGCTGGCAACGCCCGGCCTGCGCTCAGCTCGTGAACAACCAACTTCACGCATTCTTGTTCCGTAACAAGTTGTCCCATGGTACTATGGGGACCGAAGATGCTGTGGGGACAGCAGGAAGTTCCCATAACACGGTCCTAATTTGCCTAACAATAAAAAAACAACTTCCCCATAACGCGGTGACGGCCGCCCACAAAGGCCTTTTCACACTGTCCAAAATCTCCGGGTTGGAACCGGTTCCGACCCCGAGATTTTTTCAACCCTTTTCCCACTTCTAAAATTTCAACCCGGTTCCGACCCGGGTAGAGTGCTCTAGCCGGATCGAAATCAACCCTGGGAGGGACCAGGGTTGAAAATCTCAACCCGGATCGAAATTGCATTTTTCGGCGTGAACCGTGTCGAAAATGATAGTGTGAACCGCCCCGGGTTGAGTCACTCACGGCCGATCCGTGTTGAGTTGAGGCCAACATTTTACCGAAAATCTGACACGCCGTGCATAATATTTCCCTCCACCACTATCGCCGTCACAAACACCGATCCCGAAACAATCGCTCCCTAATTATCATCCAATAATGTATCGGTGTATGGAGCATCCTTTACCGAGTCTGGGCTTGTATTAGGTCCGCAAAATGTACCCCAAAAATGTACATTTCTAATGTTAAATAGAACGAATCGTCTAACGAAATGACCGGAGCCATTTTGGAAATATTGCACACAGCTGCGCTGGTGTCGTACAAAAATCGGACTCCCAAATTGGATTCGTTTACTCTCTTATTATTGGTCAAACCCTTTCATGTGACAGGTCCTTCTCCTAATAGGCATGCGCAATACTACCAATGGGTCCGTATTTCACAGAGTAGTAAATTCACGCTGCACACCGGCCTGTCCATAAGCCTCGTGCGCGCAGCAGCCGCGTGCGTCGCAATGCATTATGGGATTGAGAAAATCATCGCAGCACCCTGTGCCGAATGCGATCCGTGTCGAGAATTTGTAGTGTGAATACACGTGGGCCGTAGCCGGATTGAACGTTACACGGTTCACGTAGCGGCCGTTCCCGTAAAGGACAGTCTGAACGTCGCGTCTCTCCGATCCGTGTCGAAAAATGCTCGGGCTGAACCGGGTTGGATCCGGGTAGGTTTCAACACGGTTCGAAATGGAGATAGTGTGAAAAGGCCTCAAGTGTGTATTTGCATGCATTCGGGGACCCCTATTGTCCCTCTTTTGGTTGCACTTTAACTTTTTAGGAAGACCTCCCTTATGTTCTGTACACGATCACCAAATTGGGGACCTCTAGGGAATTGGGGACCCTATTGTCCTCTATTGTTCAACGTCCCCTATTGGATGCAGAAACAAACTCACACACAACACACATACACACCCTTGGTGATTTATGTGCTGTACCGGTATATCACTATTTTCAAATTCCCAAAATGAAAATAACCTTGATAAAAAAAGAAGAAATCATCAGAAGAATTATGTCTTTTATCTTTAATAAGTAAATCATCTTTTAAGAAAACAACTTGAAAATTTGTAGAATGTTGTTTGTTGGTGTTTTTTTTCTGCAGAAAGGCCAATTTACGGATACATGCTCAGAGAGCAATTTTTTTGGGGGGCAGTGTAGTTGACAAACAGCAATTCGGTGAATTCTTTTTTCCACTCTAGCCATTTTACTAAATATTTGTACACAAAATGCTCATTGACCCTACCCCTAGGCCCTTTTGGCTACGAACCATCCTCAATCCTGCAAAATCCTCCAATTGCCACCATGTAAAAATTGGATTCAGCCTCAAACCTCCGAAATCATGCGTTATTTCTTGAATTTGTTCAGTGGAGGGGTGCCCATTGTCTCAATTCTTTAAAATCCTCCAACAACCACTGTTAATGGGTTGAGGCAATGCAGATGATGCATGGCTCAAATATGCATGACTGAACATAAACAATGCTGGGTACAGCCTACAAACTCGACACAATTCATCCTCCAATATCAACCGAAACTTTTCGCCATTTAGCCTCAATCCTCCAAAATCCTCCAAAACTGCCTGGAGGATTTTGCAGGATTGAGGGTTGGGGTTAACGTTTCATTCAATCAGTTTTCATGACCGTTATTCTCATTCAGGCAAGTGGAAGCTTCATGATAACGTGAACAATGTACCCATCCATGGCTAATCTTTCCATAGCAGGCTCTCTGTGACATGGCCAAGCTCAAGACTCAACGTCAAACTCAAGGACGATTTGGACGGATGAGCTGTCAAGATAACAAATCAATTCAGGGCTAAACCTGTCGGAAATAATTTTCCCCTTACAAGCAGCATCGACCGCAGAGCTCCACGCCTCAACTTAGGACGCATCCGGAAGTGGAAGTGTGAGGATTACTCCAAGAGGATGTGACTTATTTACAGATTATCTATCCCAAATTGATTCGATTTATTTCACAAATTACGCCAATTTACGATATGAATCTGAAATTTGATTTGATATCTTCATTCCGATATCCTTTGACACTGACAAATCAATGGGGAATTGGATAACTGGCAATGGAAAAAAATATTATCGGAAGCGTAAGGAGATAAGTGACAACTGAAAGTTTAAAGGGAACATGTAATAGGATTTTTATCACTTAAATACTTTGAAAACAGCTTTCTTGCCATGTTACTATGGCTTTCCCATATAAACTAATCAAATTCAGTTCCCCCAACCAAACTAAATCCAAATATTTAAATTGAGAAAGATTATGCACTAACAAGAAAAACATCTTGTGCATTTATATACTCTCATAAACTGTAGAATGGTAATTGTTGGCATTAAATCATCTACCGTAGAAAATCATGATCATTTTTTTTTCCCCCAAAAAAATATCATGAATGAATTATGCAGATGTTACTCATGGCTCTATAACATAAGGCAGGAATAAAAAGTGCACCAAAAAAGGAACAGCCGGGAACAAAAGAATGTCTTAAAGAAAACTCCACAAAATTTTGGACAATTTTGTTTGAATTTGTATGGTATGAAATTTAGCCTGAGTGTGGCAAACAGTTTTTGTTTTAACATGTCTATACACACATAGCATGATGGGAGATGCCCTTTCCCATTACGCATTGCGAAATCAAGTATCCACGAGATGTGCAGTTTCGCACTTCAATCAATGCAATTTTTCATGGTTCACAAATAATATATTAGGAAAGAAAGTCGCCAGGCAATTTTGATCATGACAAAATGTCATAGCGCTGTCATCCTACTGAAGCGAACCATTTGCAACGAGACTGCAAATTGTTGGACAATCAATTGACTTAAGGCAAAACCTTACTGGCATACGTTACAGAACCCAAATTATAACCCAATCACCTCTGATATAAATATGGAAAGGGGGGGGGGGGAGAGAGAAAAGGGGGGGAGGGGGAAGACGGGAAAAAGAAAGAATAAGAAAAACATAATCGGAAGAAAAATCCCCCCCCCCCAGAAGTGTGGAAGGGGTCTACGAATGAAAACTTACCTGTAGAGCAATCTACTTTTCCATGCATATTTCCCAAGAGCGGCAAGTATTTACGTTAAGACTTTACACAATAGCGCCCTCTGGTGTCCTACACATAGTGCCCCCCCCCCCCTTCCTCTTTTCAATTAGCGGCAGATCGGGTGGGGAAATATGCATTTCAGTAGATTGCTCCACAGGTAGGTCGAGTGACGTAGACTTATGGCTTTTTCCAGAAAAAGGCAATGTCTCCTCACCATGTGCGGCGCGGGCGTGGGTACCAGAGCTCCTCCTGGGGGTGGCAGAAAGGAATGCTGGTGAGTGTGCTGATGTTGATGCATGTGTTGGTGTTGGTGCATGTGGGTCTCCTGGCGCATGTAGGGTGGCGGGCCTACGCTCATCCTTTGGTCATTGGAAGCCAGGAAGCGGTTGTTCAGCTCCTGCTGGAGGATCTCGCGCTGTGGATCTGCGAGGGATTGGGGAGGCGAAAGGGAGCAACAAGTAAGACAAGGGTAAAACGCCGGTCAGCGATGTTCAAGACTGGTCACGAGCATCACATGGTGCAGAACACACCGCGCAGTAGCGTAGCAAACTCAACCGCCTTGAGAGCCACTGAAAATATGATCTCCATATGTGATGCGATCAGGCTACCGGTACATGAGTCGTTTGTCAGGAATTTTCATTTGGAGATACAGGCCAAAATAGCATCACTTCATCACATCTCTTGGTGTTCCGACTTCCATACATTTTTAACTAAAGATGGTACCTGCATACGGTTTTCACAGCAGTAATGCTGAGATTGTGCTCTTTTCAAATCTGTAAAAAAGAAAATTGACTAGGGTCGACAAACGACTCAGTTAGCTCGATCGCATCACATATAAGGATAGGTGTCTGCACGCGCGCCGCGCACACCACAGAAAAGTCCCGGACGCAGAGTAAAATGGTAGTACAAAATTCGTTGGAAGTTTGTCAACTTTTCAACTCTTTATGGTTTTTAACCAAAAAGGTATTTATGAAAGGGGATAATAGTGTGATGGAGCAGTTATTAATGTGATGTTTAAATCCAGTTAGGGCCTGGGTGCCGATAATATTAGCCCTCGTCTACGGCTCAGGCCATTATCGGCACCCAGGCCCCTGACCGATTTTAAACGACACGTTTGTAACTGTTCCATCCCACCATTGTCCCCTCCATATTTAATACTTTAGTACTGCAGACAAGCGAATATCTATTTCTTGACCAAAATGAATCAGAGCTAACAGGAACTTACATGTACACTTGACGCCTATGATGTGCTTGTGTGCGGAATGCTTTGATTTCGATGCAACAAATTTTGCAGTGAGAACAACTTGCTTTCTTATGCAGTCACACAAGGATGCGCATACACATGAATGCATAATGGTCATTAGTCGAGCTAAGCATTTAGCTACCAGTATCTACAACTAAACTTGCTTCAATAATCCGAATAATTACAAGCGGGGTATCACTGCCGGACCTGATAGCAATTTTAACCAGAGAAGCGTAACGACATGGGCTCGTTAAGTTATAATGATGAATAAATTCATAAATAAAAAGTTGTTGCCTATTCAACACTGCAGGCCTCCCTACCCTGCTCTCTGCACATGCATGTACCGTGTGGGTATTTCAATGAACTTGTAGAGGCATTAAAATGTGCCATAAAAGTCTGGCACTAAATAATTGCTAAGATAAAAGAATGTTTATCTAAACATGATGGGCCCCGCAAAGACATAAACATGCAAATTGCCAATCAAAATGCACACATAAACAGACCAGTAAAAAAAAGCTGCATATCTACGGAGAACTTAATAACATGATGCCCTTTTGTAACCGCCGTAATTCGATATTTCAAAAGGACTCTTTCCTTCTCTGCTTGGCCAAATGCATCCAAATTCGGATAAACAAATCAAATTTGATTCTCCATGCTATGTAGGAGAATCAGCGAGAGACGAGAATTTGCTATGGAGGACAGTGTGCACCGAGGGCCCGCTACGCAGCTAAACGGGAAATCAGGAAGAAAATTGGACAAAACGAAGGAATTACGCGGACACATTGGGGCTTCCTCCCCAGCCCGTCCAATTGGAATGTCGTTGCAGGGGGAAGCAGATCTAATTAGGAAAGAAAAACACTCGGATGCCGGATAAAAAAAATATGGTAGGGGGAAAAAAGTGGGAACAGTCGGGGAGCAGGCAATTCAATAAACCTGCAGATGGGAGAGAAATTTGACTTGCCCCCAAAAAAAAAAAAATGGGAAGTACATAAATTGAGACAAACTATAAGAAAATCATATGAAACGTTTCCTTCCTGTGGGAAGTACTTTTTTTTATAGTCAACGGTATTCGTTTTCACATGTTCTTTAGCTAGAAGGCGTAAAGAATTGACGTTGAAAACATCACAGATTTTTACAAAATATGGCCTTCTTGTGAAAAAAAAATGGCCTAGAAGGTGGAAGGATTTTTTATGCTAGTTTACGTGTACTTTAGTTAGAAGGCGTAAGAATTGACGTTGAAAACATCACAGATTTTCACAAAATATGACCGTCTTGTGAAAAAAAAACGGCCTAGAAGGTGGAAAGATTTTTTATGCTAGTTTACATGTACTTTAGTAAGAAGACGTAAAGAATTGACGTTGAAAACATCACAGATTTTTTACAAAATATGAGAGAATATTTTGTGAGAAAAAACACCGCCTAGAAGGTGGAAGGATTTTTTTATGCTAGTTTATCTCTAGTTCGAAGAGGGGTTTGCATTGGGTTGGGTTGGGTTAGGTCTTTGCTTCAAGAGCTTATAGAAATATGACAAAAGTACACCGTTTGCCCATTTATTTATCTGTAGTGATTTAACAGGACTGCTATACATGGAGCGATATCCCGCCCTCCTTGAAAAAAAACCCGTTAGACCGATCAGTAAAACGTGCTATACTGAACCTATAACCTTATGAATAATGTGTACTCACTTGAAGGGTTATAATTGAATCCCGGCTCACCCCTTGCGTGTGCTGATGAGGGTTGTGGCTGTTGCTGTTGCTGTTGTTGCTGTTGTTGCTGTTGTTGCTGCTGCTGCGATGGCAGTGGCTGCTGTGGCGGTGCGCCCGATTGACCTGGTGTGCTGTTAATGGCCGACGGGGCTCCCAACAAAGCGCTGCTATTGGACGTCAGTGGCGGGGGTGGTGGCAACGTGGGGCCTGGGTACATAGTACGCTGGGACTGCGCAGGGCCGCCCACGGGTGCGGGGGCATTCGAGGGGTGCTGGTGGTGGTGGTGGGGGGCGTATGGAGGAGGGTGTCCCTTGTGGGAGGGCGGGTGGTTGGGGTACTTGGGGGGTACACTGGTAGGGACCGTGGGTGGGGGATGGATTCGGGAGGGTGGGCTTGCTCTTGTTTGAGCAGGGTTGCTGTCGGGGGGAAAAAAGAACATTTTAGCCCCTTTAGTTTTTTTATCAAATAATGACTTATTTATGGCAAATCAAATATCAATCATTTAAAAATGCACCATAACAAATAAGATTGGCACATTTGGAGACTGCCTACAATAAGGCTTGATAGTCCAGTTAGTACAGTGCCAGTGTCATATGAAAATCGGACTCGTATGAAAATCGGACTCTTTTTCCCTTTTATTGGTTAAACCCTCTCACGTGACCGGTCCCTCTCCTAATTATCTATTCATGAGTCCGTATTACATAAAACCTAAATTCGTGCTACACCAGTACTGTTTAAAATCCTTATCCACCTAACTTCGTTGTCTAAACATATATAATCTTTAAAAAGCAATTACAAAAAGCCCGTTTTGGAGAGAGAGTTCAAAATTTGTCGCAAGATTGTCGAAAAGGGGATCAGGTTTCCGGGACCTTTGTGGATGAAATCCCATAAGCCATCATGTCTGCGTCTGTATAAACTAAGCTCTAATGATTCCTAGGGCTAGAAATATCTGGCAAATCGCTTTTCAGCTGTGAGCCGACTAAGCGAATGACCACACAAAAAGTGTGGCCGACCTTAAGCAGTTCCTCTCTGATAACAAAACGGTCCTTGTGAGCTTGTCCCACCCCCCATCTTCCCTGCAAACCAGAAAAGAAAACCAACAGATTATGACGAGGGAAAGGGGTGCCAACATGTGGGCTTTGCGATAAAAGGGGGGAACTTGTCCCCCCTCCGTGACCCAACTAATCCACGCGATCCTTAGCACAGGTGCTCAAGCCCCCTAAAAACATGGCCGCCCCCCGGGCTACATGCAGGTTTCCTTGTCTGCCCCAAGTCCAGAGCGTTTTACAACGGTAATCTTTTGATGGAGGAGTTTGGGACGGAAATCTTTTGCCCTTTTTAGTGAAAACAGTAACTGTTTGTCCATGTGCGGTTTCGTATATACAGACACATTTGTTCGCCAGAATCATGTAGTCATTGGATTACTTTGAAGTGACACAAGCTTTGGTTGAAACAAACGTCAGACTCAAGTATCGTGTAGACGCCCACCCCTGAGTCTAAACTGTGGGGAAGTCGAAATGGCTGGTTATGAAGTGTGGGTGTGTAGTGATTGAAAGAATTTTGTAAAGTTCAATTTAAAACCGTATTGCAGTGGAATATAGATCTTTTGTAAGAAACCAATCAACCATTTCAATACAATCCTCCTCAATTTAAAAGACACATACATGTAGCCCTAAAATTTGATTCAATTCGGTTTCTCAGGGACGGATTTGGAAGCCGCATTTGCATTTGAACAGTGAATGTACATGTAGCCTTACTGAATAGTAGAACCTTTTCAACTTCATAGAATGTTATGCATCAAGAGCCAAAAACACCCAAAACCTTTGTGGGCAGAAATATTTACATTTTAATTAATGTTGGCCTTTTTATTACCAAAAAAGGGAGTGGTAAGAATAATATCCTGGGTGTAGTAGTTACATGTAGTTCATTTTGGCATCCAAAAGGAATTGAAACGCTATGAGAGCCCAAAGTAATCTCTAAAAAATAAGTCAAAATCCTTGAGAGCCGACGGAGGCACCATTATTGCTGGCCCCCTGGCAAGCATTTCAATCTCCACAGACTCATCCGCAATAATCCAGATTAAAATGTTCCCCTAAAAAAAAAATTACCTCAGGCCTCAATGACATTCCGTGAGAATATTTTCACAAAATGAGTTTAATCTGACCACAATAGTAGCAATGCCATGCAACCGAAAAATACATGAAGATTGATACATTGAGAGTACAATGAACGTAATCCTTGTTTTGCTGCGAGCTCATTCTGAAAGAGATTTGTCGGGACGGCTAAGCTGGTTTTTATTCGCCTTTTCTCAGATTGGTGTTGCTTGCGTGGTCTTATTCTCTTGGCACCGAGCTTTCCCTGAAGAATTTAAGATGATTGCCATTGGGGGAGTGGGGGGGGGGGGGGGAAGAGAGAGGTGTTTCAGGGTTCAGCGAGAGAAAAAAATTGGACAGGTGTGCCAGACGGTAGCTGATTCAGAGCTCAGTTATGAGCAATTTCCCGCTCCAAGGGGATAATGGCGAGTAATCTGGCTTCAATTCCTGTTTAATTCTCTTCCCTGTTGTGAGGGATCGTGAAGGTCTTAGAGTGAAGGGGAAAGTGGCGCTGTAAGTTCTTCCAGTGTCGAATTCAATTTAAAAAAAAAATTGTTTCACTGCAAAAATACTAAGAAATGAAGAATCTCACTGTAGTGGAGTTTGCATTGGAGCAAAGTTCACATTGGAAACACTCCATGGAAGATTTGAAGGGAACACTGAACAGATTCGGAAAGAACTTGGACATTTCAGATTTACCTCAACCAGCCAGTATGCCTTGGATAGTTGACCTCCTTCTCTCGGGGATGAAGCAGGCAGGATTCCTCCTTCCGTATGTCGCGGTTACTGTCTCTCCCGCCCAGGGAACTTCCTATGGGTCCTCCGACAGAGCTTCCCAATGGACCTCCGATGGCAGCTCCTATGGAAGCTCCTATGGAAGCACCTCCTAAGGGTCCGTTTCCTCGTCCGGCGGCTACTGCGCGGTCGCCTCCGCTGGGGATTCTGTCAGGGCCTACGGGCAGGGTGATGGAAGGGGAAGTGCCCAGCTGAGGTCCGGGGATGGGCAGAGGGGATTCCGAGCGGCGGGCGTCGTTGGGGAGACCATTGGTGAGGGGAGCGGCCTTGGCTGGCAGGACGGGCTCTTCTAGACGGAGAGAAAGATGGACGAAAGAAAGAGAGCAATGGGACATTGTTAAAATAAATACCCAAACCAGCTGCGACGACAATTTATACACAGTGCAAAGTCAATCGCAAATTTGTGTCACGTTACCTCAAGTAACTGTAATTGCAAATTTGCAAAAGTTGGACACATTTTGTCTGCGGGACATTTCGTGTAAACACTTTGTGATGTCAGAGTTGTTTTGCATCTGCATAACGCACAAACTGGTCTCCGGTAATGGTATCTCCATATAAGCAGATGAAATTTACTGCCCACGCTTGATAATAATCAGTTGCCACTAAACAGTCTCACAGAAAATAAACCACTTATTGCAACAAAAGTAGAGAGTGTCATTCGACACTGAATCCAAACAGGACATGTACAAAATACCTTTAATTTACAGGATAGGTCCTTTTTTTTTGTTTGGGGAAGACTCCTAAAACCTCTTCCTGTTCAATCAAGTCCTGTTCTTTTAGCAAAATGCAAAAAGATTACGCGATGGTTGAGGCCGTCTGTCACGCCGGTTCCCTGTTCTCCCCAGCCCCCTCCGCTACTCCCCCTCTGGCCAATCGTTCAGGCAGCGCTTAATTTGCCGCCCGGTAAATGTGTTAGTGGGCCATAACAGTTGTGGAATTACTGCACAGTCCAGTCACCATGGTGAGATTGGAGTAATTAAATTGCTCGCCCGGGTCCGCTGTTGGTTCCCCGATTTTTTTCCCCGGTGTCCTTATGATCATAACTAATATACACCCAACATGATATTTCGCTGGCCACCGCTGCTCCGTAAAGAAGAAAGGAAAACAACATCATAGGAAAGTGCTTTGCCCCAGCTTAATACAGGTAATTGGGCAGTTGCTCTGGGCTTAAGAAAACAGGTGTGGCGAATGCATTAATAGAGCTGGCTATGCTTGGGTTGGATTTCGCTTTGAGAAAGCCATCAATCAGCCAGACTAAGCAGGTCTACCAACAGTACAATGTCATTAGTGTTATTACTTTGGGGATTCAGGGTAGGGGGGGGGGAGAGAGAGAGAGAGAGAAGAGAAAACACATTGCCAGGACACACTGCCAGGGACATGTCATTAGATTGTGATTACATTATGCATGCTTTCTTTATGCAAAGACTTGTAGTTTTTTTCCCCCTTCTTTTTGTCAAAGCTAATTTGTACGAGTGTCCCCGTGGATGGGTTGTTGAGTCCAGCCTGCTGTGTTTATTCAGGTTTTGAAGGAAAAAAAGCGATATTATTACCCATTCTTGTTTATCTGCTGTTAAGTACACTCATCTGCACTCCCCCGCAAATGAGTCAACATGCAAGCTGCCCTGTATACGTTCATGGATCAGTTTCAATTTCATTTTTTTGTTTCTTATCTTTCGGAATTATGAAAGCCTCCCAAAATGAATGTTGAGCCTCAGTCAATATGTACAGCTCTGATGACAAAAAGACGCGTGTCAATTCAGCTGATAATGTGGTGCCAACAGAACTATTCTGCACGGATGTTCAAAATAGGTCAGGTTCGTTTTTTTTTTTTAGCCATGCCATGCATGTTTTATGTGCTTCATTAACTCCTAAAACCAGGCCTTTGCTATTAACGACTAGTGGGGGAAATGAAGCAGCGCGACCCTGCATTCTGGTAAAGGTTAAGGAACATAATTGGCGGACATGATAAATTTGGGGGCAGCCATCTGTCCAAAATCTACCAAGTAACCCCGAAGAAACCAGTGCGGTCGCAGTTGAATCAGACCATGATCAGACTGTACATAGTAAGGCAGATGACATTCCTACGAACTTCCATTGGAAGAAGAAAAAAACGGAGGCCCCCACATATGCGGCCAATTACGGCCTTGTTACCGGACCCTAATTCAAAGCGTATCCGCGGTAATTGGCACAACTGCTAAAACAATTCCCCCACGTGCTTTGGGGAGCAAATCAATACTTGGGGGCAGACAAAATAAGAAAGGAAAAAAAGACAGTTGAGCGGAAAGAGTGACGGAAACAGAGACCCGCCGTAAATTGAGTTAAGGAAAGAGGGAAAGGGGGGGGGGGGGGGTTGAGATGCCATTCTGCGAGCCATGTGTTTGAATTATTATGACGCTTCGAGAATGTCACATTATGCATCTGAAACCAGAGAGGTACATGAGCACGAAGGCCGGCAGTCTGAGCGTATTGCAAGCATGGTTTGAGATGATGGAAAGCGATATTAAAGTGATGACATGTCGCATTCGATCACAGCTAAAGGGACCAGACCTCAATAAATACCATGACCCCAATACTCGGAGAACCGAGGGGTCTGTGACAATATTGATGGAGCTGGGGTGTCGAGGTTTGATTTCAATGCCTGCCTCGTCTATACCCTTCAACTTTATAGTCGCATTCTCTTTATCCAGAAAGAACGAGTCAAAACTGCTTCAGATAATAACCAAAATAATGATTACTGAGAATCGTAATTAGGGAGACAATCCCATAGGGTTGTGCACAAAAAATTCAAACTTTTATGACCCCAACTCCCATTTTACCTTTGGTACATTGATGCTTTGGACCACGAACAATAAATCAAGCCAATTGTCGTTATTAAAATGTTGCCAATAAAGAGGAGTTGTGACATGAGGGAGACATTGAAATGTCTCCTTAATCGTCCTTGTCTCCCCATTTGACCTTATCCTACCCCAACAAATTTTGGTACATTGATGATTTGGACCACGAATAATAAATCAAGCCTATTTTCGTTATTAACATGTTGCCTCTGGCGTTGTGACATTAAGAAGACATTGAAATGTCTCCTTAATCTTCCTTGTCTCCCTAAGGTATGACTAATGACGAAAAAATGTCTTCTTAAGGTTAAATTTACAGGAATATTGTTGATGTACCCTAACGTGGCACAGCCCCTATTAAACACGGCACACTTTGATTGTTTGCCTGTAGCGTCTAGCAAGAGCAACAGTTTTAACTGAAATTTCACAGAAAGTGAAATTTCATCAAGTTATAAACACTCCCGTTCATAAATCACGAGTTTATCTTCCCATTACAAAGTTAAAAGAAAAATTTATTTCGGTGTGATTTTCCGATTTATTTCAAAGTGCGCAGTGAACCCTTTGAAAATGTCCCCCCCCCCCAAAAAAAGGGACAATTTTCTGACAAACTTCTAGTTGGGTATGTAAGTAGAGATAATAATGGTTCATCAGAATTTATTAACTTTACAGAAATTATTAAATGTTAACTTGGGATTTTCCAAGATTTATTCAAGTGCCACGTTAGGGAACACTCAACCGATTTTGTGCCCAATTTCCGGATGCAACGGGTTTTGAATTCCGGATTAAATTTCATGACACCGAAATTGTTCACAGAGGTTAAATAGCAAGCATTAATAAGGTAAAAGTACCAGTATTTTACTGAATGAATTTGAAGTGTATCAACAAAGAAGTTTGGCAACACTGCATGAGGAAAGTTGGGCTAAACGTCAAAGTGCGCCACGTTAGGGAACACCACTATAATGTACATACAAAAGTGACCTTTAAATATACCCTACTCTCCACAGTTCAAAAATTAAAATAGAGAAAAACAGGTACATGTTAGCAAACCATCCCAAAGCAATCAACAATAAAAGAAGCACAGAGGAATCCATACTTATGACAGAAAAAAACTACCGTTACAATTTGATTACCAGCGCCACAGACTGATGCATTACCAGCATGAATGTTTGAAAGAGCATAACAATGCATGGGTGTCCGAATCCATGATTTCTGTGAAGAACTGTCCAACACTAACTCAGACTTGCCCTGCGTAGAACTTACCGTAAATGCCCCTGGAACATTCAGAGGAACCTAACATTGACTCCGTATTCAATCCCGCATGTAAACATCCAGAGACCGCTCATTGACAATCTGATACTCTCATCAGAATATAGCGTGCAACCATCGCGTCGGGTCTGCGGCACCAATGTGAAATCATCCCAACAACAACAACCAAAAAGGAAAAGTACACATGGGACTCCGGCATAATGTACAAACAATCAGGCACAGGCCGGCAAGCTCGCTGTTATATTCCGTCGGCTCCGTGCTCTCCAAAGGAGAAAAATGAAAACATACAAAAGTGCCTTCCCCTCTCGGAGAGTCCAATGAGTCACTTGACTAACACCGCCGTGGCCCAGCGAGCTGGTTTCCACATTAGAGCCTCTGCTGTCCTCTTGGATAAAACCCCGAACCCAGATGACCCTCTTTGACGTCCAGAAACCAAACCTCGCCCAGATCCCATCCGGCAAAGGGTACAAACAAGAAGGAAAACAAGACCCTCGCCGTGTTTAGAACACCAGTCCCACTAGGATGAATCCACGGTGACTTGCCTCTTACCGCATGCATTAAGACGGCTACGAGCTGCCGGACAGGTGATTCCGAGCCCCCCGGCTTATCCCGGAGATTAGCGGAGGTGACATGAGGAAGGCTGGCGCTAATCCCCACTTAATACCCAGGCCTAATCCCGGGGATCAGTAACCTCCCGGGTTTAATAGATGAGTGTCATATCGCCCAGGGCGAGTGACTAACGAGTTGTGAGGGAGAAGGAGTATGTGAACGGGTTGGCTCCACACAGCAGGCCACGTCAATTTTTTGTTTAGTTACTCTTAGAGCTGCTCATACGTTATAAACCTCTGACCTTGTTTTGGCTTTTCTGCAGTTGCAGAAATGCCATATATGTTTCCTTCTTTTTAATTTGTTGAAAGGATTCTCACCAATACACACATGCAATGACAGATTTTAAGATATCAACACAAATAGTTCAATGCATTTTCTGACTTGTACAAATGAATTACCATGGTATACATAAATCTGTGCCACAATTTTTGTGTTCACATCATTCCACTGACATGTCACTGGCAAGAAAAACAACTGACAGACAAATTATTTTCCTATTGAATTAAAATCGAAAGTTCTGATGGGGTCTTAACTGATGGTATAGGGAGGCAGAGTGCATGTTATCGTTTACAATTTTAACAAG